CCTAATGGTGCACTGACTTTCAAGTAAACTGATATATTGACCATAACGATGTGTTACCACATTCAGCACAGACATGTGGACGGTAACCTGCAAGGAAGACTGAAGGCTGGTGTTGTTAGCAATGCTAACGTTAGCCATGCTCTGCAAACCTATTTGTAGATCGTTTACAGACGGTCAAATTCAACCCACAATGCACTGCTGTTTGGTTCACGTCCCTTGTTTGGTTCGGATCACATTCTCACCTACGGCGTACCGAACTCTGGTGCACTTGAAAGCGAATCAAGACCCCCATTTTGAAGTGCACCAGAGCTCGTTTGAGCTTTAACACCACCCCAAACCAAACGAACTATCTGACAAAAAGACCAGAGCTCTGATCACTTGACAAAAACAGGGATTTTGCCTCACAGAACACAGGAGCGTCTTATCTACCTCGGTCCTGAGATGTGTTTGTTTTGTGTTACACAGTTATGACAAACGACCTCCTCCTGCAGTGCTCTGTAAGTGAAATCACTGGTTTTTCAAAGGAGTCTGTGGGCTTTGAAGACGCTGCTTCTGACGACCTGTTACTCCTTTCGACCTCGTGTTAAAATAAGGTCCAGGTTTAAAATACTGGAATCATTCTTAGAGATCAAATGTGTGATGCTGAAGTTTCTCTCATAGCCGAGAGTGTGTGTGCAGTTATTTAAGTTTTTGGTTTTATTAAACATTAAATGAGTAGTTGAGTCTATCAAGCTCTTGGAACTAACATCAAATATTTTAGTATTTGCCTCTGTAAAGAAACAACTACTAAGTACAAGTGCCTCAAATCTGTTGCCTACTGCGGTACGCCATTCTGCCCCCTAGTGGCCAGAAATTCTTCATATCTGCCTACATATCTGATTCTTGCAGCAGAAAGTGATGATGAAGCAGATTTGTGTGTTTGATTCTTGATGTGAAGGTTTGCAGTGCAGTAAAAAGTGAATAAGAATAAATACCTGCTGGTGTTGACTTACATTTTGCCGTCTTCTCTCATTTCCTTCTCCAAGAAAACATACCAAACACACGAGAACGTTAACGATGACGCAGTAATAAACACACATTAATAATATCTACCAAATGTAAGCAACCATATAAAGACAACCATATAGAGACATCCTAAAATAAGGTAAAGCCTGCGAGTTTGAAGGTGAAGCCATGCACGTGTCACAAACCTGCGTTCCTCCTAATGACCACCAGGAGGCAGCTCCTTGCATGAGGACGTCACGTTTAGCTCAGTCAACATTTTGCTATCAAGTTTATGTTCTCAATCTGTAGTCGTCTTGAACTCAGCGTGATGTTCACTTAGTTCATCATGGTCCCAGTTGTAGTCAAAGTCACCAAAAAGAGGGGGAGGGATTTGAAACCACAGAATACATATTCAAAGTATCTATAGTGCATTCTGCATAGTAACCAGACCATTATAATGCCGTTAGCATCATACTAAACTCTGGCTCACATGGTGAACTTCCAAGCAATGTTAGATAAGCTAGCATGAAGCTAACGCGTCCATCAGTCCGTAAATAGAATTCAAAAATATGCAAACATTTATCACTAATACAACTTCTTTAGTCATGTAAGTATTATTTAGCAACATTTAAAATGAATTCAGGAAACCAGTTACTTTTATTTTAAGCTACTTGCTGGCTGGCTTGCAATTTTGGTGAGCTCTGTGATTGGATAGTCTGAGAGCCGCTGTGCATTGTGGGATGGTTCAGTATTACCAGTATGATCCTGTTTGATAATTGGAAATGCCAGCTGAATGTGTGTGTTCTCTCCGTCTTCCTCCCACAGTCCAAAGACATGCTCGTTAGGTTAACTGCTGACTCTAAATTGTCTGTAGGTGTGAATGTGAGTGTGTCAGGTCTCTATATGTCAGCTCTGTGATTGGCTGGTGAACAGTCCAGGGTGAAACCCTGCCTCTTGTCCAATGACAGCTGGGATCAGCTCAAATCCTCCACGACCCTGAACGGGAAAAGCAGTATAGATAATGGATTGATGGAAAATATTAGAGACTGAACAACGTTTAAACTAAATACTTGCTGATTATTTGTTGTCGTTGAAATGAATCACAAACAAACTTTGAACCAAGTCGTACATTTTGGCATTCAACACTTTATTCACAAACTAGAACCAATCACTGTGTCCACAGGTCAGCGGCTGACTGTACAGGTGTGTTAGATCAGTTTGAACATCATCCCTCCATCCTCCAATCAAAGTGCTCAGCAGTTTGTCCTTCAGTGTGTGTGTGTGTGTGTGTGTGTGTGTGTGTGTGTGTGTGTGTGTGTGTGTGTGTGTGTGTGTGTGTGTGTGTGTGTGTGTGTGTGTGTGTGTGTGTGTGTGTGTGTGTGTGTCCAGTTCAGAACCAGGAGTCTCAGCTGGTCCAGAACACTTTGATTCTAGTGCGCATGTCTTTAGAAAAACACACCTAAACATTTACAAATACATTCAAACACAACCAGGAGATAGTTGTTAGACAGCAAATAGCACCGCAGAGCAAATACATTTGGGGTTAAAAATAAAAAAACATAAACGTCTACAGACAGCCGGGCCGCTCGGCTGCACTCACAGGAAGGAAGAAGAAATCCCCCAGAAACACTTTTTACACTGACAGAATCAAACTGTTAATGTGGTGTGAAGCGATGTCACTCTGAAAGTGGAAAATGTTTCTCCAACATGAGGAATGTCCGACTCTTTCGGAGGTCGTTATAGTCGCAGGATGAGAGCTCCTTTCCACTTAAATGATCCAACAAGTCGTCCAAGATGGCTGACAGTGACGTGGAGTCAGATTTAAATAAAGTAGACTGTTGGTCACGCTTCGTACAAAAGGTTAAGAGTCGGTTTGTACAGAAGCCCTAAGCGGACAAACATCTTGAGTCGTGATCTTGACGTATTTATCTCGTTATCTCGAGATAAAAAGGCTGTTTTCCTCTAGTCTCCAGAGTTCCAGAAACAACAAAAATGAACTCATGATCACGGGAAAACCATCGTTTTTAAAGAGAGATAACAGAATAATTAAGTTGAAATATCAGAAAAACAGTCAAACAATATGCATGTCTGCTTAGGGCCTCAGTCATTTTGAGAGTGCAGATCATGTACAGTATTTAGCAAGTAAATATAGCTGCTGGTTTCAAAGGTGAAACCATTCTTAAGTGCCTTATACCTGCATTCCTTCTGATGTCCAGCAGGGGGGGAGGGGCAGCTCTACTCCTTTCATCAAGACAGTACTTGTTTTTAAAGATTTATTTTGGGGCTTTTTTTTTAGATATGACATCAGATAGTCCGGAATGGTAGAGAGCGAGAGAGAGAGAGCGAGAGAGAGAGAGAGAGAGAGAGAGAGAGAGAGAGAGAAAGAGAGAGATAGAGAGAGATAAAGAGAGATAGAGAGAGATAAAGATATATATATATATAGAGAGAGAGATAGAGAGAGAGAGAGCGAAAGAGAGAGAGAGAGAGAGAGAGAGAGATAAAGATATATATATATAGAGAGAGAGAGAGAGAGAGAGCGAAAGAGAGAGAGAGAGAGAGAGAGAGAGAGAGAGATAAAGATATATATATATATAGAGAGAGAGAGAGAGAGAGAGAGAGAGAGAGAGAGAGAGAGAGAGAGAGAGAGAGGGGAATGACATTCTGATTGGTCATTTCTGATCAAGGTTTTTCGGGGAAAAATGGACTCCAAATGAAAAATGTAATATCATCCTGGGGGAAGCTGCAGTAAAAACGAAGTGATGTTATGTGAGGGAGGAGGGTGATTGGACGGTGATGTTTGACGGTTAACATGTGTAAAAAAAAAAAAAAAGCGACAGAAAAGCAGAACTTCAGGGCTCCACAAAACAACAAATTCTGGATTCAAAGACATCACTTTGAAGTCCTTTTTTCATTGGCTCCCCAGACAGTGAGAGATTTCACACTCCCACTGTCTACTTCAAAATGTTCTTGTCAACTCTTCAGGGCTTCAGTGTTGCATCATGGGTACTGTAGTCAGTCACCAGGTTAGTACAACGGTGTAGCTCTGTCGTCAGTAAAGACGTCGGTCACCGCGGTAACCGACACTCAAGTTAGTGGAAGAAATTAAAATGTATAAAAAGGAAATGACATCACAGTTACATCAGCGGTGATGTCACAGTGTTCAACAGTGATTTTTTAAATTTTTTTTATTTGCTTCCGTCTCAGTCTGTGTTTAGTACGAAGAACATGGAGAAGAGAACAGGTCCTTTAATGTCTTCACAGACGGTTAGAAAGACTACATGTGGACATGGACAACAAATATGGCCACCAGGAGGTCCCCTGAAGAGGAGGAGGACGAGGAGGAGGACGAGGACGAGGAGGAGGATGAGGAACTTCTAAAACTGCTGTTTCCTCTTTGTTCAAGTGACGAGATTTTAACTCAAAATGGCAGGTTTCAGGTCATTAGACAGATATATTCAAAAAGAAAAAGAACTTAAACAGAAAAGTTTTGCGTTTCTACACTTCTGAAAAACTATTTCCCGAGAAAAAATTCCTCGCACGGAAAAATCTCTAAAAGAGCAGACAGATTGTTTAAGATATAGTCAGAAATAAGAGTTTTCTTTTCTGGATGAAATAAGGGAAAAGCATCAGGATTTTTATATCCTTTTGAATTGGTAGATTTTCCACTCGTTTACAGAAAATATACTACTAAAATGCATTCAGACCACAGACTGTAAATATACATTTTTGAAGCCTGTGTGATGTCACCCGTCTGTTCCTGCAGGGGGCGCTGGAGTCCCATCGATGGCGGTCTCCATGCTGGAAATGCTGTCTCAGTCTAACTTTCAGTCAACCTAACGACAGGCTGAGAGCTGGAGCTGAGGCGGGTTTTAAACCTCCTGACAAACCGTTACACCGCGCCCACCTGTCAATCAGGTCAGCTACACGCCTTATTGTGAATAACTCTTATCCTTCATCAAATCAAAACTGATGAGTCATCAAAACATTCACCCCCCGTACAGTGTGTGTCCATCCAGACATGAGCTAATCACACCTATTTGTTTTTTTGAACCAGGCTGTAAACATGTTCATCTCTGCTGTAAAAACAGGCTTTTGATCTTTGTATGATGGTGGGGGCAGGAAGATCCTCCTGGAAGTCTAAACTCGGGGCCAAATTAAGACTTTTCCCTCGACAAACCTGCTGATATTTAGCGAAGTCTGTGGAGTTTATTCTTAAAATAATATCTCCAATAACACTCTGTCTCCTCCTACTCTTTAATAAACTGTTTCCTCCTCCTCTTCCTCCTCCTGCCCTCGTTTCCCCCACCTGAAGCTGAACTCCTCAAAGAATGATCAGGGAGGAGCAGCTGACGGAAGAGGTTCAAGTGTTTCGTCCCAGTGTCTCCCTGAGCAGCAGGGTTAGAGGGCCAAACGATGTCACACAGATGGCAGGGTGGTGAGTTTTGGGGGCGTGGTTGTCGATTGGTGCCGCTGAAATCGCATCAACAACCACGCCCCTGCTCCTTCAGGCTGCTGTGGGTGGGGTCAGGAGCCTGCTCCAGCCAATCAGGGGACTCAGCCTTTCCAGCCGTCCCAGATCGGACCTCTACTTGAAGAACACAGAAACTCCGGTCAGGTTGTGACTACATTGAACAAGTTTGTCTGTTTGTGAAGTACAGAGGTGGATGTGTTAGCAGACTCAGAGAAAGATGAGGAACATGCAGAGAGCAGAAACATGCAGAGCTAAACAGTGTTTAGACGAAAAGTGAAATCTACAATGTGAGGTTCAACTAAATGTTGAACTTTTACACATATAGACATAACCTTTGGATGCTCTGAGCTTAAGATGTGTTCAGTTCTGGAGAAACATTAAAAGACCAATTCAGAGACACTGTTTGGTTTCACGTTTTTGTTTCCAGGCAGAAGAAATTATGACAAAGAAAAGTGCAAAAACTCCAGTGTCCACTAGAGTCTGTCTCCTGCAGTGAGTCAGTCTCCATAGAGCTCTATGTTAAAATGTCTAACTTTACAGCTGCAGTTCCTCCAGTGTCCACTAGAGTCTGTCTCCTGCAGTGAGTCAGTCCTCATAGAGCCCCATGTTAAAATGTCTAACTTTACAGCTGCAGTTCCTCCAGTGTCCACTAGAGTCTGTCTCCTGCAGTGACTCAGTCTCCATAGAGCTCTATGTTAAAATGTCTAACTTTACAGCTGCAGTTCCTCCAGTGTCCACTAGAGTCTGTCTCCTGCAGTGACTCAGTCTCCATAGAGCTCTATGTTAAAATGTCTAACTTTACAGCTGCAGTTCCTCCAGTGTCCACTAGAGTCTGTCTCCTGCAGTGAGTCAGTCCCCAAGTCTGTTGTTTTTGCACTCTCAAAACAAAGGTTGATGTTTGAGGGAATAATGATGTTATTTTCAAGTTCATGGTTCTGGTTCAGACAGACAGACAGACACACAGAGAGACAGACAGACAGACAGACACACAGAGAGACAGACAGACAGACAGACAGACACACAGAGAGACAGACAGACAGACAGACAGACAGACAAACACACAGACAGACAGACAGACAGACAGACACACAGAGAGACAGACAGACAGACAGACAGACAGACAGACAGACAGACACACAGAGAGACAAACAGACAGACAGACAGACAGACAGACAGACAGGCAGGCAGACACACAGAGAGACAGACAGACAGACAGACAGACAGACAGACAGACAAGTGCAGCACTAAAGCAAGAAGCAGTAGACAAAGAGGAAGACTCACAGGGTTCGAGACGATGGTTTCTTGACTCTCGGCCACTTCCTCCTTTCAAACAGCCTGATGCAACAAACACACACACCGAGTTACACACAAGCAAACTCACACACACACACACACACACACTCACACACTCTCTCTCTTTTAGCTCCACCACCAGCAGCCCTCAGCTCCATCAGGAAACCATGCAGCATTCAGAGCCGAGCAGGAAACATAATGTCTGTGTGTATGTGAATGTGTGTGTTTGTTGATGTGTGTGTGTGTATTTGTGTTTATCTGCATACCTGTAGTCATCAAAGCTGCTGAGATCCCGCCCTCCTGATGAAGAGAAAGATGATTGGTAAATGAGCAGTGGCTGAATTTGAGATGATCTCTTAACCTGATGTAACCAATGAAGTGTATTTATGAGGACATTAAAAAAAAGATGAACCCTTTGATGGGACATTGTGGACCTCTTTGTGGACCTCTTTGTGGACCTCTTTGTGGACCTTGCAGGATAGTCGAAGAATCAACCAAACCAACCCAAAGACTGCATGTGTGACTTGTGTGTTTGTGACTTCTTGTTTACCTATCCAACAGGGGACCATAGGCAGTTATACATTCACCTTTAGGGGACCACTGAACCATGCAGGGACATTTTGGAGGTCCACAGTTGTTTTTACTTTCAATTATTCTAAAATCATATCTGGGACCCACCTGGTGCTGCATCACTATAGTTCCAATACAATTACGTGAATGTTTGTGTGTGTGTGTGTGTGTGTGTGTGTGTGTGTGTGTGTGTGTGTGTGTGTGTAACATACCCTGCTCCAGTGAGCGTGTGCGAGGGTTACACTGTTTGTGTCCCCTGCAGCCTCTGAGCTCCATCAGCTGGATGTGAAGCTGATTGAGGACCGTCCGATCTAAAGAGCTGACGGCATTGATCAGCTGGAAACACAGAGAGGAAAGAGAGAGAGAGGTTAGAGGTTTGTTCTCTAAGCAGTTGAATCAAACAAAAACTGTAAGCGAGTTACAAATTACTGATCTCATGAACGCCTGTAATCCCAAGTGCCGACCTAAAAAGCCTCTGCATGTTTCTAATAAGCTCCACGAGCAGAAACGTGCTCAAACTAGGATCAATATTGGAGATGCTTTTGAAAAATGGAGAGAGGTTAGAACACAGAAAGGTTTACAGACCCATGCAGAGCTGGATAAACACTGAAGCTTCAGAGTCCACCACATGGTGACCTGAGTGAGCATCCACTCTAGAGAGGAGGGGGGGGACAGCTCTCTACAATGTTTAGAATTTAGACTGCAGTACCCATTTTAAACACTAGGGGGCAGAGTTACATATTTAATAGTTTTAACCTGTAATTGCACATGATGAAATTGATGCTACTAATGATGTGATCAGGATGTTGTTGATGTTATTCTTTTGACAATGATGATTAGGAGAACCTCTGCTTTGCCTCTGAGACTTGAAGCTGTTTGTTGGCACTTCCTGACATCGTGTCCTCGTCTCTACATTTTTTCTTGTGTTGCACTTACTCTCAGAAGTAAAACGTAGAATTGTAGTAACGCACATGTTCCATTAGATGGCAGTATCTACGTTTAAAGTGCCATATGTGAATCCCGAGGGCGATAGGCTCTCATGAAAACCCTTCTTATGTGTGGGGAAGTAATCCTTTCACTATACTAACTGGGGACCAATACTTAATTAAAAAAAAAAAATACTGACATCTTTATTAATCTCCTCTCAGGTTACAAGCTCTTTTTTGAGTGCGTGTTTTTTTGTGAGTTGTGTGTTTACCTGGTACGGGTCCGTGTTGAGGTCGAAGTACTCCAGGAAGCCGGTGGCGAACTCGCAGAACAGGAAGTTGTGGGTCTCGTTGATCGTCCTGAGACACCAGTACGTGTTGTTGTTGGCGCTGGTGCAGGCGCAGAAAGATCCCACTGCAACACAAACACACACTTACATATAATGCAGTAAACTTTGTCTCCTGTGAGCACAACAAATAACTCAAGTTTATAATATCATAGAAGAATCAAGTGTGTGTGTGTGTGTGTGTGTGTGTGTGTGTGTGTGTGTGTGTGTGCGTGCGTGCGTGCGTGCGTGCGTGCGTGTGTGTGCGTGTCGTACATGTCCAGTAGGGCGCTGTATGCCAGTGCTGGTTGTCGTGTGTGAAGCAGGTGAGTCCGGGCATCGAACATGTGTCGTTGTTTCTGATCCTCTTTATCATCTTTCTCATCTTCTTCCTCCTCTTCTGATCCTTCAGAAGCCACGCCTTCTTGTCCCGAGCCCCGCCTTTCCTGCACATGCAAATGTCACAACGTTAAAGATCCAACTTGCCATCACTTATTTTACTATTTTAAATGTGTAAATACTGTTTATGAGTATCCACTGGGACTGGTTCTTTGTGTAACATGAGTGCCCTCTGCTGGGGCCCCTGCAGACTTGAGTGAGTGGTGCAGCCTGTGCATGGTCTGCACTACGCTGTCCCCGTGCATCGGCTGTGAGAGACCTGATAACCTTCTGTTGTGCCAAAAGTGAACGTTGTAATTTTCTCCATGAAGCCACTGATTCTTTAGTCATTTTGAGGGGGGGGGGGGGCTCACCTGAAGGGGTGGATGCTTCCTCCTCTGTGCCGAAGCTTATTTTTCAGTTTGGACTTAAACCTGAAAAACACATTAACACCAGCTGCTACACAAAGTGGGAACTTTCATCGGACTGTTAGGCATCTCGCTGCGCTGCTTCACTTACAGGTATTTGTTACAGTCACACTCCAGAGGGCGGGCCTTCTTCAGGTGACCTCTGACCTCCCGCAGGTTCTTTATCTTGGTCTGCAGTGTCTCAATCTGACACAAAGAGAAAACTCGTTCAGTGAGAGTTCAAACACAGAGTGAACAATGTGGCTTCAGTTCTTTTTTTAAGATACTGCACATGATGCACATATTTCTTCACTTTAGCATTTTGAATAGGCATCTATGGGGTTATGTTTCACTGCTATTTTATACAGTTTTATGCCTTTCAAATATTTAATGCCATTTTTTTATTTTTTTTTATTTTGCATTATCTTATGTGATGCTCTTTTTATGTCTTGTTCTGCTGTAAAGCACTTTGAGCTGCAATACTTGTATGAAAGGTGCTATACATATAAAGTTTATTATTATTATTATTAGAAGTTGTTTTTGAACCTCGTGGTCGATGTGCAGCTTGTGGTCCTTCCAGGCCTGCAGAGACTGATACACTCCTGTGTCACACTTCACCGTGGCGTTGGACAGAATGAAGCATCTGCAGTAAAAACAACACACTGACATTATAATCACATTCACAGGACGCGGCCCCTGGAGTGGGCAGGAAAAGAGCAGCACTTTGTGTTTCTGCAAAAACAACAGCAGAAGCTGACATTTATTTTTTTTCTAATGACGATGAACGTGTGAGCTTTTGAAAAGAAGGATTGTTTGTCTCACTTATTCACACCTCGTTGATTCGGCAGAGTCATCAGAGCTCCATCTGTGCTGAAGGTTCTCGTTTAGCTTTTGATTTATCAGCCGTTACACAACATTTAGCTCCTGACGCACTTTGTAATTAGACCAGGGGGTTTAATAGGACATGAAAAACACTGAAGTTTCACAGCGAAGACCGACTTGCAAAGGACTCATATCGTCTTTGATCCGCTAATATGTAAATAATGAATGCAGGCTTCATTTAAAGTCTTTCTATGTGATTTTTCACACTTAAATGTAGAAATCAAGTCTCTCCTCTGAAAATAACTCTGTGAGTCATGACTGTCTACAATGGGTGTAACACCCGAGTCCCACTGTCTGTGATGTTTTCACAGTTTTCAGAGTCCTATCTTCACTTTGTTTACATCGCCAGGACAGCCGGCTGACTCCTCCCCTCGTGTATAAAAGTTGTTTAATTGAGGGACTAGAGAAAAGAAGAATAACATACTGTACTCACTGCTTAACTGTGTTTCTAGATCACGCTCATTTCAGGTAAATTTACATGCAGTGTGAAGATACCAGCAGAATAAAGATCGCTAGCATTAGCATGCTAACACAACAATGCAGCAAGAGTTGTTTTGGTTTCATGCTGCTGCTCAAGGGCGACATCTGCTGGATCAGCTGTTTTACTCGGAGGAAACACAAATATATTCCGGCATGGCCAACATCAGGGTTCCAACTAAACGCTAACATAAGGAGGAATCCTACCTGTGTGTGACTTTGTGGGAGTTGGGAGGCAGCGTCACACCTTTAGGAACTTCTCCCATCCCACTGAACTCGTCCTCAGACTCGTCTCTTATTGGCTGAGCCCAGTTGGCCCCGCTCGCCATGCTGCTGTTGCCAGGGTAACTGTTCGTCATGGATACTGAGCGGCTGTAACGGTTCCTGGAGTAACTCTTCAGGGCTTTGAACTCTGGGAGACACGCAGAAACAAACATTTCATTTAACACAGACGATATTAATCACTCAGACTTCGAATATTTTTTGGGGAAAAGAACAAGAAATAAGAGGCAGGAAGCTTCCTAAAAGAGACACAACTTTAGAAATCTCCAGCATGCAGTTCAATCCTTGAACACTAGAGGTCAGCATCACACCAGAAAACCAGGTGAGCTGACTGTAACATCTGCAGCAGAAGAAACACGTTTGATAAATGAGTTTAATTAAGAGTCAGATCATCTCTCCCGGAGGTTCAAATTAAAAAAGTTCAACCTTAGAGCCTTTAGTTGCTCAGTGAAATATGAATGTTAACGCTGAGCGCCGAGAGTTCAGACAAATGTTAAAGCATTACACAAAAACACCTTCTTCCAACCTCATTATTACGACTTAGCAAAGGTTTTAGCTTAATGCCAAAGTCCAACCCTGAAAGTCTCTTAATGCAGTAACACTAAGACTCTGTAGCTGACATCACTGCTTACAGCTCTGCCCCCTCCAGTTTGGCTCAAATGGCAGCTTCCTTCATGAACCGTGAAGCTAAATATTCACAAACAAGGAGCCCCTCCCCCAAAAAGAGTCCATATCAACAGCTGATCGGCAGCCAGTTTTTTCTATTAAAGGTCACATATTAAACTAAATCCACTTCTCCATGTTCCTCTAACTCTAACATGTGTCTCTAGTCCGTCTACAAACCCCCCAATCATGAGAAAAGTCCATCCTCTCCGTCTTCTGCCTGCTCCACTTTTCAGAAAATGTTTGCTCAAACAGGCCGTTTGGAGATTTTCCCTTCATGACATCACAAAGGGCAGTAGCCCCTCCCCCAGGTGGGTGACACTCCCACAGCTACGTGTTTGTTCTGCCCTCTGAGTCTGCCTTCTCACCGTAAACAATAGGACATGGAGCGAGAAAGACAAAGTACACCCAAGCCCTTCCAGAGAGGGGGCGTGGTCAGACACAGCTCATTTACATATTTAAAGGTACAGACACAGAAACTGGCAGACTTTTCTAAAAGTTCATCTGCCTTCATATTAAGTCCACATGACTTTATTATTGAAGTAGATATCTGTAATTTGCTGCTGCGACTTTAGATGTTGTTGTTTTCTACTCGTGAGCTAACTTACGCTAACTGCTAAGCTCTTTAAGCTAACGTTACTCCTTTAAGAGGTTAAAGGTCAAACTCCAAGTCTTTACCCAAAATGTATATGATCCTTTTTAGCATTTAGCTACACTGTGTGCGTCTGAAAGTGACCGCTGCCCCCTGCTGGTCTGAATTGGTAACACTCACTCTTCTTGGAGAAGAACGGCTTCTTGTTGAACGACCTCATCAAAGAGGGCCGCAGGTTCATGGGTCGGAGGTCACCAAGGTCACAATTGCAGGGGTCAATGTTACTGTTGTACATCTGAGACTTGATGCTGATTGGACGCTGACGGTTGGCCACACCCCTCTGGATGTTCTTAGCCCCGCCTCCTTCGTTTTTACATTTGAAGAGGCGAAGCTTCCCCGTTGTGTCCTCCACACACTGCCACTTCTGAGGACACACACACACACACACACACACACACACACACACACACACACCACACACACACACACACACACACACACACACACACACACACACACACACACACACACACACACACACACACACACACACACACACACACACACGAAAGATGAACATCAGTGAGATCTTGACGACCAAACAAACAAAGTAAGCCTTCTCTTAATGTTCTGCAGAGACTTCTGGTTGTCAAACTGAGGAGAAGAAAAGCTTCTGCCCCTGAACAATCAGGAAAGAATTCCTTTAATCTACACAAGTTACAATTTTAATTATAGTTACATAATATAATGAACACTTATATCCCATTCTTTATGGTTAGTTTGGGAGCAGAGGCTATGTGTTTAAATGACGGTAAGACCAGAATCATACATGAGCATTAGAATCTCTTAAAGTTCACATATCATCCACTTCACCATGTTTCTCTAACACTAATACTAATATGCTGGGAGAATGTAGGCCTGAGGGAACATAAGGAACAATTCAGGGGGAAGAGATGAGGGAACAGCGGGCCCAATTTTGATGGAGGGATATTTCATAGAAACGAGTGACCTTAGGGATGATCGCACTCGAACACCTTTGGGTGAATTTTAAAACAATCATTTATAGAAATTAGCTTCTGGGGCGCTGGTGGAGCAGTGGAGCAGTGGTTAGTGCGCGCGCCCCATGTAAGGAGGCTGGAGTCTTCCAAGCAGGCGGTCCAGCTTTGAATCCCACCTGTGGCTCCTTTCCTGCATGTCATTCCCCTCCCTCTCTCTCCCTGATTTCTGACTCTGAAAAAAAGAAATTAGCTTCTATCCTTCAGCCCTTCACCAATTATAAAAAACCTACATATCCCATGATGTTCAGCAGGTCCTGCAGGGTTCACATGAGTCAGTCACTCCTCTGTGAGGCTTTGTTGTGTTGTTGCTCATTAACAGGAGCTGAATTAATTTCTTCTGTTGCACTTTGTCAGTTCTTAAAGAGTGACAAACGCCC